TAAGAAAAACTCAGACAAAATCTATCGGCTCCAAAATTAGGGTTCATTTCCAGAAATATTGAATATGAGAAAAAAGTGCAGAAGCAAATGAGCAAGAAACTCTGGTGGTAAAAAGCTTAAAGATGCTAAAAACAGTGGCTCTTTTAGTATTCACTTTTTGTGAACACATTCATGTTAAAGCGTTGTGGTCGTCAGGCAGTTCGAATTTCATGTAAATAAACAATGTATTTTACACGCGTTGTATACGTCGCTATGAGTCCCATATTGAACGGGACGCTGCGCGACGACCACCGCCCTTTAATATTTCACTTCTTGTTATCTAGTGTGATGCTGATTGTGGTGGTGGTACAAGATCTCGCAGCGTGACTTGTCAGAACTCGCAGACACAATACAATGTATCAGATACCGAATGTCCATTACCAAAACCATCGGAATTGGAAGAATGTAATATCGACCCATGTCCAGGTACTTTTTTTTTTAACTCCACATATATGTTCACTAAGGTTTCCATGCAGTGCACACAACACATCAGTCAAGCTCAATTTGGGATCCTATATGGCTTTGTTTCCTGGTAGAATCATGCACAACTTACGACAGACGTTTACAGTTAGCGAAACTGTCTAATTCGGACAATAAAGATTCATAGGACTCTGGTTAATTGATTTGCTTAGAAACATTTCAGTCCCCCCTTCTTTCTTACATACAATAGTAGAAGCTTGTGTTGAAGAATAATCTGACACTCAAATCAAATGCCTTATTCCTTACCTTGTAAATAACATGTTTAAATAGGCAAAACACCCATGTTAAGCAAACACTTTCTTGAAGTCTATGCACATTTGCTTCAGTTATATAATGTATGTATGTTTATTCCAGTTTTTATTTATAATTTGAAAAATAAACCATAGACTAGGTAGTACAAATACTGTGGACTACTTTATTTTCACTGGAATTAATTTTCGCTGAAAAGGCTTTTGGGGCACTTTGTATGATTTATTTTCACTGATTTTTGATTAGTTTATTGTGAAATACAGGAAAAAAAGTATATTCGCTGGATTTTATTTTCACAGAATCATCCCTTCAGCGACAATTGCGAAAATAAATTTCAAGCGAAAATAAAGTATTCTACAGTAGTTTACAAAGAAAGTACTGGTAGTTTATTTTCAACTACATAAAATGATAAGTCTCCGCTAGTGAGACTTGAAAGCCAACTATGTAGTCAAAACCCGAGCATTTAGCAAATTCCCTAGCGAGTTTGCATCCCAACTGCAACATGTTTCCCATCATGCGTTTTGGTTCTTACAGTCATGATGAATCACTTATATCAGAATCGCTGATATGATTAATTCATGATATTATAGAGATTCTGAACTGTAACTGTATGTCTGTGTTCCCAATTTTAAAGTTTGAATAATGCCGAAGTACGCAGCTTCTATTGCCTCCAAGTCTATCAATATTTTTTACCTGGTATTTTTTCATTTAAAAACATGACAATGCTCAAAGGAAGCAAGAGTAGCAACATGAGGAATATTTCCTATGACTTATCTACTGATATTGCCTTTACATTACCCGGTATATATTTTTTCTCAGAATTCCTGTAAATAGACCAAATTTCGTTCACTGCGAGATCCTGCCTTATTCGTGAAATCGGACGTAAAAACATGAAAAACAAAGGTCATAGCGCTGTAGTGGCATCAAACAT